GCGCCCGTCGGTCCCGTACCCGCAGGCCCTTGGCAGGATGCTGGGGCGCTCCGCACGGGCGCCGTCGCCCCTTACTTTGAACAGCAACCTGAAGACGAAGAGCAACCAGAATACCAACCTTCTCCTGTGTCCTCCACGGGCTTGAGTTGGCCAGCATCAGGACACTCCAGCACTGGTGACTCCGCAAGTGATTATGGTTGGCCTGCCTTCAGAGAGGCGCAGCCAGGTGGTAGTGAGGGAGATGAAGATGGATCTGGGCTGATGGATCTTGATGAGGGTGACTCTTGAGTGGCAATTTTTACTTGAGCAATAGGACATGTATATATCTCTTCTGGGTGCGGAGCAAGGACTGTTGACTTTCGAGGGTCCACACGTGCGGACCTTGTGACTAAGAGGCGCCAGCACCATGTTGACGAAGAGGCGCCAGCACCATGTTGACGAAGAGGCGCCAGCGCCATTTTGACGAAGAGGCGCCAGCGCCATTGTGACCAACAGGCGCTAGCTCTGAAAACTTACCAGGCGGCGCAGGCGCACTAGCCACAACGGCAAAGTTACTGTGTAATGGCGCTCGCCGAATGGCAGCTAGCAATCATATATACTGGTGTTCATCCATGTGCCCGCTGGAACTCCTAACCTCTCATGAACTTTATTGCGCATGTAGTATGAAATGCACCCCCTTTCTCCCCCTTCAAACACTGCCCCATGTGAGATCACTTTGCCAGCAACCCCAACTATTGTCGATGGGTTGTACTTGATGGATATGCCTAAACCCAGGAAATCCATGATTCCAGTCAAGTCTTTCTCTCCCAAAGGCACTAGGACATCAATCCACTCATTGCACCCTTTGGTGTCACGGTGTACTGGTGTTGACCGGTTGCTAATCACTGACAAGGCGCTGAAAGGGGGAGTCCAATGCTTCAGCGCCATGTACAATTCTTCCTCATCATCCACAAACCCATTTTCTGTCTCGAGGCGGTGGAGTGCCTCCATTCCCTGCTCATAAAGTTGTGGATGTATGATACTCAGGATGGCGCCAATCAAAGCAGATGACTCTTGCATTTCCAGGCTCCACTGCGCCCCAACGGCGCCACGCTTCATTTGCACGCTGACTTCAAGCTTGAACTTGGAAGACTGCAGATCGTTCAGACTTTGTTTATGGATCCAAAGAGATTTCACACTTTGTGCCCTTGCTGGAACCATGCTGGCGATAAACTCACGGTCCCGGGCTTGAGTTGTTGACATTGCTCTGCAGGCCTGTAGTGCATTTTATGATTCCTCCAGTTAGTAGTAGCCTTGTCGTCTATCGTCAAAGCTGATTCAAGAATTTTGAGGAACTTCCAGATCTGCAACTGAACAGGGTTTGAGATTGTACACCCAGCGGCCATAGTCACATACCTAGCGTGCTCCTGAAAGGATGTCAGGCAAATACCAAACCAGCCCATTGTTATGCATATCCGTTACCACAAAAGGCGAACTTTTATGGACAATAGGTGAATAGATGGGCGGGTACCTATTCAAGATTTTCTCTTCTGTTTTACGATTTTGTCCGGTCAGGGCGGCGCCGATGGTATCGCAATACCTCGTGGCATCCCATGTTGTGCGGACTTGAAGAGATCAATCAACCAATTACTATGTGAGCAGGCATGGCGCACTTGGGTGTTTGAAAGCCTCAACCAAAACAACAACTATCCCATTGCAGTCATCCAACAGGTCCAGTGTCCAGTGCAGGGGAAAGGGTGTTTTTTGTGCTGTTCCATGGAGGGTAGCCTGGAATTTAGCTTTGAGAAAGTCAGCTATTTCTTGAGTGAGCTTGAAACTACTCAAGTCTTGCAGCATCGCAGCAAGACCGGGGAAAATGGGTGGGGAATATTGGCTGGTTGGCGAAGAAAAATGTGGTTGCCTGCAGGCGCAACGAGGCTGCTGCCAACACAGATGTACAACAGGTAAATAGTATATCTATTTAACTTTCTCCTACGTGGTCCCCCACAGTTATACTAACGAGGCAGCACTCTGGTTAACTGCATCAAAGACAAATGGGCGCAACAATGGGATCCACGCAATTGGGCGCAACCCATGGGCGCCAGATGTACAACAGGTAAATATTTAACTTTCTCCTACATGGTCCCCCACAGTGATACTAACGAGGCAGCACTCTGGTTAACTGCATCAAAGACGAATGGGCGCAACAATGGGATCCGCGCAACAGGTAAATAATATATCTATTTAACTTTCTCCTACGTGGTCCCCCACAGTGAAACTAACGAGGCAGCACTCTGGTTAACTGCATCAAAGATGAATGGGCGCAACAATGGGATCCGCGCAATTGGGCGCAACCCATGGGCGCCAGGGGTAAAGTCGGCCGATCCGTCCTCTATGGGGCTCTGTACTCGCGGCCCACCCATCTCGCATGGCCTATTTTAGAGTCTCGGCCCAGTCATTGCCAAGGCCGAATTTTTGACAGCTCGGCCGAGTCCGCTGGCCCGCTGTTGATGGGCGCCTGTCACACGCCGCTGGCCCATCAGTGATGGACCCATTTGACTGCCCTAACTGCCACAAAACCAAACATGTCGGGCCAGACACCTCGGCATGCGTTCATGGTTCCTCAAGCACCTGCCGAGGACTGCCGCATTGAGGTACCTCAAGACGCCGTCGATGCCCTTCGTAACACAATCCCGGTCTCCCGTGATGAAGCAATGCGGTGGGTTGATCCATCCTTCGAGGAAGCGGCGAGGCGGGCATATATAACAATCGGTAGCCCTTCTCTCTCCAATATGAGTACAGGCTGGTCTATTTTCAGCGCTATGGCAGCAGTAATTACTTTGTAAAGATACATACCAAAGCTACTTATGACTCTCGCAATGTCGCGTTATTACATGACGGATGATGGGAAAGGCAAAGTCACAGTGCAAATTCATCTGTCCATGTGATGCCAAACAATGGAAGAAGGTCGGAAGATCAAAGTGCAAATTCATCCGTGGACGTCCTGCGAACGGTAGGAACGTACACCCTTCGCAGTCACAAGCTGCAAAATTTTGGGGGTCGATTTTCCTTTCTGGTGTCACTGGTGCCAGTCATGGGTTGTAATATTCTTTGTAGAAGTTCTCCTGACCTCCGTTACAGTAAGTATCTTTCAATCTCTCCATCTTGTGGAATGTACGCCCCTTCACAATCACAGTGAGGTGTGTTCATAGAACTTGGTATTTGAGCTCCGTTATCTCGCAATCACCGCCAACACTTATCATTCTGCAGTTCGACGCGAAACATACAATCTGCTTGCAACGATGTGATTTCCCTGAAAATTCCTGAAATGGTCGCCGAAAAGGTAGACCTTGGGTAAACCGCAAGATTATCCAGGGTTCGTCAACCATTCCAGGAAACTTCAGGAAGAATCATAACATTACGAAGCAATTTTTTATTCGTGTTCGATGATATGCAAAGTGGCACTGTAAAACCGAATTGAGTTGGACTGTAGAACTTCGTACCCAACGCGTTTAATCTCCCGCGAAATCACACAAGGATCCTACCGATTGAGCATTTCATCGATAAGATCAAATGCCACCAGATGGCAGCATTCTGCTTAAATACCAGGAGGCTTTGCCTCGTTCTTCACCGTTCACTAACTCACTCGAGCCTGTGTTCACCCCCTACCACCAACCTACCACTTGATTCACCGACACCGCACGTTGCGCCTATCTACTACCCTCATGGTCAACATACTAGACCCCCCCGCGACGTCATGTAAGTGCTCTAGATCCTCGTCAGTTTGAACGGCTGCTGATCTATACTGCATCAAGACGTCGTAATCGTGGACGCAGGATCAAGCGGGACCCGCCCCTACATCTACAAGTGTCGTGAACATAAGGCTGTACCAGGACATTTTGAATCTTCGACTGATGCGGGGACGAAAATTTCCTTGTTTTATAACGCCAAAGTCACCGAGGTGGTTCGCGACAACGGGACCGGTGCCGCCGGGAAAGAGAACCAAGGTTGAGCCCTCTTTTTCTGGATCATGGAAAGATATAACCTCCAGACAGGTATCCATAACTGTTTCAGGGAGGGGGGGGAGGACGCCAATCAGAGAAAGGCTGCCGTCGAGACTTACCTCGGGGGCTTGCTCACAGAAGTCAAGGAGATCCTAGAAAAGCAGGGTGTCACCGGCGACGCGCTCAAAGATGTCTCGTTCTTTTTCTATGGTACAGGGGGCGTGCGGACGCTTTCTCCCACCAACATAACTGACCTGTACGAAGTCGTGAAAGCTATAATCCTGGACGCCGGATTTGGCGACCTGAAGAACCCGAGATTAGATATTGATGGCGCGATGGAGGCAAAATTTGGGTGGGTTGCGGCCAATTACTCGCAAGGGTACCCCGTTTCCGACTACCGGGTATATGTGGAGATGGGTGGGGCCAGCGCCCAGATTGCTATCCCCGTGCCTCTTTACCAAGATGTCGCGTTGGTCAATGAAAAGGAGAGAGCTATGCGAAGTTTTGATCAAGCTGCCGCCGGGCGGTGTGAGCTGGAGCTGCTGGCGGCATCGGCGTATGTCGAAGCGTTAGAGCCCGGGAAGCAGCTCATCCATGCGAATAAGCGAGCCGACGATATTAATAATAATCAGGGGAAGCACATGAGGATTGCGAGAGTGGAGCCGTTCGGAGGACGGAACGTGTTTTTGGCATCATTCCCAATGGGAGTGGACGAAGGGTACGAGAGGTACAAGAAAGCGCTCCCCGCGTTGGTATGTGTCCCGCATCGCTATCCGAAGAGGGAGTGATGTTGATCTTTGCAGATCAATGCCCCAGACTACAGCAATGCACCGACTCTCCGTGATCCAAGTAGGCGTTACGGGTATGAAAAGGATATCGACATCGAATTTCTCGAAGAAAGATGGACGAAGATAGAGGGGACGCAGTATCGAAACGGCGGCGCCAACGACACTGAAGCCTGGGTGACCGAGGGTGTCAAAGATGCTATACTCGCATCCAGAACAAGAAATGATGACGATACTATCGCGCCCAGGGAGCTTACAGTCCCGTTGGAAATACAAAGTTTCCGGAACCTCCTGGGCCTTGACCCTGTTAACGTACGAATATCTCAGTCAGACACAAGTGTGGTGACGACTCTGTATTTTAGCTACCTGTTAACGTACGAATATCTAAGCACAGGTAGCATCAGTCTTGGGTAAGTAAATGTAAGTAAAAGCGAACTCACCTCAGTCAGACACAAGTGTGGTGACGACTGAGGTGGGAGAAAATAAGGTTCGAGGTTTATATAGGAAAAATGGGTGGCTTGTGTAAAGACTGGTAAATAACGGGGGTAAATGTATAGGATAGAAATAGAGGCGAAAAGATCGAGAGTGAGCAAACAAAAACGTACACGTAAACAAATGAGGTCACGAGGTGTCTCCCTCAACACTCCCCTAGACGCCAAGGGACCTCTAGATGTCCAGTTTGAGCGCTCGGACGAGCTTTTGGTGGGTGACACGCGGGAGTGGTTTGGTAAAGATATCGGCGAGGTTTTCCTCGGAGGGGATTTGGACAAGTTCGATTTCTCCGAGGGCTACGCGCTCCCTGATGTAGTGGTGGCGTATGTCGATATGTTTTGCGCGTGCGTGCCCCTTGGTGTTAAGGGAGAGGGCGATCGATGCAGCGTTATCGCCATGAAGGACTGCGGGGAAGGTACGCTTGAGGCCTATCTCCGACATGAATGAGTACATCCATAGCGCTTGTTGTGCAGCACGCGTGAGGGCCATATACTCCGCCTCTGTAGTGGAGAGCGCGACGGTAGCTTGGCGCTTCGAGCTCCAGGATACAGGTCCACCTGCCAGTGTGAACACATATCCTGAAGTTGATCTGCGTGTATCGATGTCTCCGGCGTAGTCGGCATCGACGAAACCGATTGGGTCGAGGCTCACGCCGCGGTGGTATGTGAGCTTATACGTGAGCGTACCTTTGAGGTATCCGAGGAGGTGAAGCATGGCCTTCCAGTGTGCTGGTCCAGGTTTTGCCTGGAAGCGTGCGAGGACGCTAAGGGCGTAAGCGATGTCGGGGCGAGTTGCTACTTGTGCCCACATGCAGGCGCCGAGGGCTTCGCGGTATGGCTTGTCCTTCATGTAATGCAAGTCCTCGTCTGTTGTGGGTGAATCGGATTCGGATAGGATGATGCCGGAGGGTAGTGGTGTGGTTTTGGGGTTGCAGTTCGTCATTCCGAAGCGCTCTAGGACACGTCGTATGTAAGCTTCCTGAGATAAAGATATCGCACCCGTGGTATCGTTTCTCTCGACTCGAATCCCCAAAATATATCCGAGATCCCCCACATCCTTTATCTCAAAGCAGGCTTCAACTTCCTTTTTCGCTTTCTCCGCACCTTCCTTCGTCGTGGACGCGCCGAAAATGTCGTCGGTGTAGGTGCTGGTGATGGTGTGCTCATTGTGGATGTGACGGGAGTGGACACAGGGATCTGCAAGTGATTTGTAGTATCCCAATGATTCATACGCACCCGTCATTTCGCTCTGAAAATCATATCCGCCTTGCATCATCCCATACAAGGTTTTGACGACCCGTAGAGCCTTGTTCTCCTCCCCTCGGGCGACAAAACCTGGCGGCTGGCGCATGTACGTGGTGAATTTGTTCGTGCTGTAGAGATACGCGGCTACGATGTCGACTTGCCAAAGGTGTAGGTTCAAAGCGGCGGCAGTGGCAGCGACCATGCGGAAGGACTCCAGACGTACGACGGACGCATAAGTCTGATCGTAGTCGAGTCCAGGGATTTGTGTGAATCCCTTTGCGACAAGTCGTGCTTTGCGCTTGATGATGTTTCTGTCGGCGTCGTACTTGTTAGCGTAGACCCACATGGAATCGATGATACGCGCCTCAGGAGGCAAGTCCACCAACTCAAAAACACCCCTGTCCCATAAAACGCCCCACTCCCTTTCCATGGCCTCCTTCCAAAGGTCTGGGCGAGTCATTGCCTCCCAATAGCTGCGCGGTACCTGGGAGTCAGGGAGTGCAGTGAGAAGTACTGTCGTTTCTGGGGTGGGCACTCCAGTCCCCAGGACAGCGAGGCGAGCAGAGCGTCTGGGCGGTACATGATGTTGATTATCAGGCTGAATGACAGGTGGCGTGGGTGCGACGTCGGGAGAAGCTGGTGGTCCAGCATCTGGGTGTAAAGGGGGATCTGTGGCGCGTGGGCGTGGTGCTAAGGGTTTTGGAGGGACAATGACGTTCTTGGCTGTAGGGTTGGCATCCTGAGGAGCTGTAGGCGTCTCGTCGTCATCGTCATCGTCGACGATCTCGAGGGGGGGCATGTCATCGTAGGAGACAGTGCGGTGACCGTGGCCTTCCTCAAAAATGACATCACGACTCTTAATGGTCGTTCCTGATGCCCGATCCCACAGCTTATACGTTCCGCGCCCATAATATCCGATCAGGACATATTTGATTGATCGGGGAGAGAGCTTCAATACGCCTAACTCCACTGGGATCTTGGCGTATGCGACGCATCCGAAAGGGCGCAGATGCGAGATGTCCTGACGTTTCGTTGTCCATTTCTCAGCAGGTATGTAGCCTGGATGTCGAGCGGATGGGATGAGGTTGTCAGTGTAGATGGTGAAGGAGGCGGCATCTGCCCAGAGCGATGGAGGTAAACCGGAATCGGCGAGAACGCATCGGGTTCTTTCGATGATGGTTCTCATCCCACGTTCTGCCACCCCATTTTGGCCATGTGCGTATGGCGCGCTGAACTCCACGGTGATCCCATGCTTCGCTGTATACTCCCTCCATTTCTCGTTGAAGAACTCTGTGCCCATGTCCACCCTAATCCTGATCAGCTTCTTCCCTGTCTCTCGCTCTGACTTCACGTGGAACTCGGCGAAGGCAATGAGCGTCGTCTCACCCGACTTCGAGGCGAGGAAGTATCCCACACGGTACGAGGAGCCCCCGTCGTTGAATACCATCATGTATTCAGCTCCCCCAACAGATCGAACTCGCGCCGGTCCCCACAAGTCTATATAGACTCGCTCCAAGACCTCAGTTTCAGGGACCACCACGCCATCGTACGGGCGCGTTTTCTGCTTCCCATAGATGCAGTCTTCGCATTTTCCCTCAAGGTCAGTGCCTCCCACAATCTCAAGCCCGTCAACCAAACCTTGCTTGACCATGTCTGTGATTGAGCGGACACCAGCATGTCCAAAGCGCCGGTGCCAGACCTCGAGACTCGTGGGCTTATGTAGGGAGCGGGCGATGAGGGCGTGGGTAGTGGTGGGTCGAGATTCAACACGTAGGAGATACATGCCATTATTCCCCATGCCCGTCATTAACGTTCTCTTCTGACCATTGTGAATGTCGTAGAACGTTACACCTCCTCCGCCGAAGAGCGCCCAACAATTCGCCTCGTCAAGTTTACTGATGGAGACTAGGTTGGCAATAAGGTCAGGCGTATGGACTGCCTGTTTGAAGGTGATTGTGGTTCTGAGGGGTCCAGATACGATCGTTTTGGTCACTGTACCATGGCCAATGATGCGAAATTGACCACCTTTGTTCGCAGATTGGCCTTCGTCAGGTTGGGATAGGATGTGGTAGGTGGAGAAGTCTGCGCGGTTGATGAAGCAATGTTTATTAGCAGCAGAATCTGCATAGGTGGGTACGTCTCGGTCTCCTGGTGTGGTAAGGGCTGCTAATGCGTGTGTGATGTCATAGGTTTTCTGTGTGTATGTCGTGACCGCTTCGAGTTCCTCGCCATCCATCGAGGGCGTGGATATTTCCTGAGTGGGGGGATAGTCCCTGTCACCCACGTTCGAGATGAGCGCCATTGTAATCTCTGAGGTAGGTGAAGTGTCTGTGATTGCTGCCGTAACTGACGAAGTATTTGTGGGAGTGCTAGTCTGGGTTGTCGAGCCACGCGCTCCCCCACGCTGACCAAAGCCTGGAGGGAACTGTCCCTCCTTCCCTCCTCCACGCCAGTAACAGTTGAGGATGGTGTGTCCACGACGTCCACAGTTTGGATTTGCGCATTGCAATTGGTTGCGCGCCCCCTTCGCATTAGTCTGGAGTGCCGTAACGACTGTGGCCGGATTGGTGACGGATTTGGAACGGTCAATGCGGTTCCAGTGGATCATTAGCCTGCTAATGACATCCGCTGAGGATTTTGCTTCGTAAAGCGTACCGACCACACTATCCCAGGACTCGGGTAGCGATGATAGAACTATCATGCAGAAGTCCATGTCGTTGATTTTTCCACCAGCATTGTTTGCTAATGCCCACTTGGTACGCAGGTTGGAGATGTGTTTGGGGAAGTCATTCCCATCGGCGAAGACGGTGTTGCGAAGGTCACGCTGGGCGGTGGCCATAGCGAGGTCGGAAGAGACCTTATATTGGTCCGTGAGTGATTTCCATGCCTCAGCGGCCGTACCGTCGAGTTTAAGTCCAAGCCCAATAGCATTTTTGGTGTTATAGAGAAGTAGCGCGCGCGCCCAGGCATCGCGCATGGCCCACTCCGCACCGGAGGGATTGGCAGAATACCACGGAGTGGGGTCATCTGGAAGTGGGATGTTGGGCAATGTGGGGGTGTAGTTTAGCGTCGTTGGGTTTGTATACGGAGCAGGGTTAGGAATAGTACCCAGCAGGTATCCGAGTGCGCCACGGCTGCTAGCAGCGATGGTGACGAGGGTTTCGAAAGTACTGAAATTAGTACCGTCAAATTTTTCTGTCTCCGAAAAGATAGGTGGGTTGGTGTTGGACGACGACATTTTTAATGTGCGTGGGACGTGGGCTCTACGAGTCGCAAGTAATGTGGTAGGGCAGGTAGGTGTCTGTATTCTTGTTATTTAGAGCGCAGCGGGGCCCATAACCTGTTAACGTACGAATATCTCAGTCAGACACAAGTGTGGTGACGACTCTGTATTTTAGCTACCTGTTAACGTACGAATATCTAAGCACAGGTAGCGTCAGTCTTGGGTAAGTAAATGTAAGTAAAAGCGAACTCACCTCAGTCAGACACAAGTGTGGTGACGACTGAGGTGGGAGAAAATAAGGTTCGAGGTTTATATAGGAAAAATGGGTGGCTTGTGTAAAGACTGGTAAATAACGGGGGTAAATGTATAGGATAGAAATAGAGGCGAAAAGATCGAGAGTGAGCAAACAAAAACGTACACGTAAACAAATGAGGTCACGAGGTGTCTCCCTCAACAGACCCTCAGGTAATTGGTGCGAGCGGTTTTTGGCATAACACACGTTTGGGTGGTGATAAGGGCTACACATTCAACTTTGTGGAGCACCTCAGCAAGTTGAAACTGAAGCGCAATGAACCCCACGATACGGGTCACAACGAATACTACGTCAATAATTTTTTCGCAGGTATCTGGATGCGGGAGGTGCTGAAGGACGGCTTTGATATTAACCCAGAAAGCGTGGTATTCACACCTTACAATGGGCATAATGGTCGGTTGAGCTGGACGCTTGGCGCGGCCGTCCTCTATGTGAGCCCGGATCTTACTAACTTGGGTGATGATAGTAGTATGGATATCTGCTGCAAGAAGTTATAGTACTGTCATTGCTTGGTCGTTACCTATGTCAATCATTACCGATTCCGATTATTAGTTCAATTCACAATGCGCTTAGAGACTCCAGATAACATTTTGCGAACATATGCACTTCATTGTGAGGTATGGACATCACTGGGGCAAACTAATATATAGAGCGACATACAGGTACAAGCGAATAAACGAGTTGCACAGAGAAACTGCCGACCAATCCGCTTTCGACCGCTTTCAACGCTTTTGAAAGCGTGAAAGCAAGAAAGTGTTTTCGCTTTAGGAATCCAAGTCCACATTGTTTGAAAAGCGAATTTAGCTTTCAAAAATGGCGAAAGTGGGTGGGAAGTGGCCGTAAAAGAGGTTGAAAAAATAGATGAAAGACTTGTACATAGAAGTGCATGTAAAAGACAATAGGATCTCAAAACATTGATAGAACAATAACAATCCAACGCTACCTCTACCTCTACCTCTACACTACCTACCAGTGTTTATCAATCCTCCAACAAATCCTCCAACCCCACGTCATCGCCTCCAGATACCCCGGCACCTGCTCGACGTCACCTTCCTTTCAGCAGGCCACATTTCGCTCTCCGATACTACCATTCTCCGCATACTTGGCATCTGTCGGGGTGGAGATGAGTAGTAAACAAACAACCAGGCTGCCTTGTCCAGAAGCGAAGAATCGTCGTCCACCGTCGTCGAGGTCAACGAGCGCCGTCAATAAGGTAGAGTCAAGTGAAGCTTCACCAAGTCGGCGTTTTGACATGCAGGAGGCCCTGGTACTTAGAGGTGAACGACACAAACAATGGCCAGAGTCAAGCGAATTGCGTAGACAACCAAGCGACGACACCCCATCCATATCCCACACCTTCCACGATGATGCGTGTCCCGGAGTTTGGATCAGGGGAGAAGGGGGTGAGGTCGGTCGGTTCTTAACGTTCTTAGCCTGGTTGGAGATGCGGTTGTGAAAATCCCTACGAACGCCTCGGCTGCGCATGTACTATTAGTATCAGTCCTCAGTCAGTAAGAAGAGAGGAAAAACGTACAGTCAATTTCTCTTAAAACGACCTCTTTGGGCTCTCCTCGCTGTCCGACTCTGGGACAGCTTCAAGCGGTGAGGCCAGGAACGGGATCTGTGGAAAGTCTCGGCGCACGGTGGTCGTTGGCGCGCCTGTGCAACTTTCGTTTCGGAGTGACAGAAGGCGAAGCGGTCAGGAGACCACGGCCGAAACGTGGGGAGGTCCTGAGTGACGTGGTATGTACTTTGTTGGTAGCTGAAACCACCTTGCTTGTGATGCGACGGGGGGAGGGCTGATGCTTCTACCTGACGATGGCGAAAACCACATCGATGTCATCATGAAAGAGTTTGTGCTGGCCAGGCACAAACCCGATTGTGAAGACATCGCGCGCAGGGGAAGGGATCTGAGAGCATGAAGTTAGACGTGGACGCGTGGACCTCAATCCACTGTCGAGCGCTCAGATTACATGAAAGAATCAAGCCCTAATAGATGGATAGCAAGTATAGGGCTGTCTAATAGAAAATAATCAACATACATGCTCTCTGAGTACTGAGTCTTCGTCTTTTTGCCCTAGATCTCGAGTCTCGAGGAATATCCTTTTTGTGATTGGATGACGAAAATAGCAACTCTCACTCCCTTTGACTACGACCCCTTCATCGTACCGAGCCAATAACTTCAACTTAGTAAGCGTAAGCCTCGATCAACGCTACCAGTGCGGATATCTCCAACGTCGTTGGGCATCGCTGGCAGTTACTTATTGTACAAATGTGTGTGCATAAGTAAAGTGCCCCATCGAAGTGAATACCGAACTCAATGACAAGCAGCGCTCAGAATTCGGCGACTGCTCCAGTTGAGGCAACTACATAACCTCCCAAAAAAGATCCCCAAGACTAACATCCAACTCCTTTGCCAAACACAGCGCCATCTCATCCCCACCGCAGCCCTAAAAGTAGGCGGATCATCCAATTGATTAACAGCCGACGTCCTAGTCAAAAGACGCATGCTCGTCAGCTCCACTACCGCTGCATACACAGCAACGCGGGATATCTCCATATTCGTCTCTTCCCCCGGAATACTAAACTCTGAAGCGTGTCCGTGTATCCTGGAATCAACGTCGTTCTCCTCAAGGAGCGCACCGGGGATAGCGAGCATCCTGTCTACCGTGAATGAGGTTGGGCCAAGGAGGTGTTGAGCAACCTTTGTCACCTCTCCTTTCGTTTTTGTCGGTTTACCTGACGCGCGTCGTTTCCTTTTCTTCCTCTCGTCCAGCCCCCTTCCGAATATCCTCAGATCAGATTTTGGAGGGTTGGTGGATGCGAGGAAGGAAGCTAGAAGTATGAATTTGGATAGTCGTGGGAGGAAAATAATATCCGCGTCTTTCTCGTCAGAGGGTACCGCGGTTTTTGTGGTGGTCGGTGGGTTGTCGAGGAGGTTTGGTGGTGGTTCATTTGCCTTTGCCCAGTCTGTGGCATTTTGGAGGCGCGGGTGGAGAGCGTCGAGGGCGAGGGAAAGGGAGGGGTTGAATAGACGGCTGAGGTGCATGCGGGTTTCTTCGGAGGGGGTTTGGAAGGACTCTTGAGAGTCGGAGTCCGCGTCCATGTCCATGTCACGTTTATTGGCGTCCAAAACTGGCTTGACAAACCCCGGCCATCGCGCGGCTGCGATGTACGCTAGCGCATGAGGGTCATGAGTGAATGGGTAACAGACGTCACAGAGGGTAGTGATAAAGTGCGTGTAGAGGGGTGGCTGGGATTAGTACTTTGAGATTAGGTGCTTGACTATGTCTGTGGAGAGTAAGTGAGTAGTTTCAAAAAAATGTTTTTCTCAAAGGGGTGCCTTCTTTCGTTGGAGGAGGAATGTCAAAGAAATACGGGTCGGGAGACGCGCCTAACGGTGGTCGTATCGTCTCCCATGGGGCCTCTGACACAAATACGACGCAAAGGTCGACTCGGGCCTACCAAAGAGGGTTAACTGCGCCAATAACGACAACGACGAACTCACCAGCTCAGCAAGTCGCGTATGTAAGCGGCACCATCAATTCCGGTATCAGCCTCTCAGCGCGTTCCACAACGATGACCAGCCTCACATCTCCCTCCTTCTCCTGCCCTTTACCCAGATACGCGTGAACGGCGCGTAAACCATGCACGAACCCGTCAAAAGTGTCGTTCCACCTCACCCCATTATCTGCACCCCAATTGACGACTCCATCCTCCCATTGGGGCGTCCACCTTGCTAAAGAGTTGATCATGGATTCGTAGAGAAGTCGCGCGGAGAAACAGGCGATGGCATCTGCGCGTGCGTAGCTGACCTTTGAGGGTCCTGGTGTGGATGAAAGGTGGTCGAGAATGTTGTTGATGACTGCTATGGTTGTTTGGGTGGCCCTTTATCATGATGTACATGAATGGTGGTGGGGTTGTTGAGATGAGGGTTGAGAAGTGTGTTGTAAAGTCTTCATAGCCTGGGTGCATAACGTCCATCGTTGTAGTACATAGTGGGCAAGAAACTTTGATGTCTTTTGGGTCTCGACAAGGTCTCGACATATCTTAAGTACCAGAGCCCTCGAACCAGAAAGAATCCACTGGCAATATCCTGTTAAATAAATCATTTGTCGTCAAATCTCAAACACGACGTCCAGCCCAACGGCGGCCTCAGTATGTACCAAGAGCATGACATCTCCATAAGTAGAAGACGTCGAGGAGGCATCAAAATCTGTCCGAAATGAGTAGGAGTGGTCCACAAATTCCATCCTTCCATTCTTCAGGTAAAAAATCTAGGTATAAAAATTCCATATCCAGCCTAATATTCCTCCCCCTCAACAGCCTCCTCCTCCTCCTCCTCCTCCTCCAAAAGCTCCTCCCAATCCGGCGCAAGCACACGCTCTTTCTGAAATTGGTACCCAACAAACTTCATAACACTACAAAAACAAGTCCGTCAGTTATCTGAACTCTTCCACTCCAACAGCGACAGAACGTACTAGATAGTGCCATCCGCACAACCAACTACAACTTCCTCATGGCTCAGCTGCATCGACATGGGGTTCTTCTCCGGCGTCGCTAGACCCGCAAATTTAGCGGGTAGTTGGCCCAAGATGCCTTTCGTCGTGTTGATCGATTTGCCCCCTTCGCCCCCAGCAACAGCTGACCATGCACCCGTCAACGGCGTTATATTAGTGTCAATGTCGACAGACGGAGTCGGCGTCTTCTCCACGGGCACGATGAAGTTCAGATCCGCATCGACATCGTCATCGTTGTCTTGATCATTTCGGGGCACTAATGGATGTTCTTGGTCTTCATGCGTAGACATGAATATCTGAAAACATAGATAGGTGTAAGCTCGAAAAGAAAGGTGGGACGAAAATTTACCCTCCGATCAGCACCTGCCCTCGAACTAAATCGTGTGGCAGTAACCACACGTCTCTTCCTCGGATCCACAGCCCCAACCGCAACATCTGGAGTCTCAACAACGGCAATCAACTTCGGAGGAGCCGTCAGAATGGCTGCACGGCCAAACCGAACCGGGAATAACCCAGGCGCGGGTGTACTGTTCCTTGGCGAAGGACTGAGTGGGGTGGTTGGTGTACGGGAACCACTGACGCTCAGACGTCCCTTGTTGTTGATGGAGCTATTGATTGGAGAGGGTGCAATAAGAGAGATTCTGCGGTGTGGTGTTGAGAGTGACGACGTAGACTTGTCGAGCACGGATCCAGTGCGTTTGCGAGCTTGACTAGGACCTTGGCTCGCGGTGAGTGAGACGGGAGATTGTGCCGTCAGCGATTGTGCTACGATGGGTTTCTCATCCGCTTCTTGCCATTGGAGATGCAAAATGACTGATTTAGTCGCACACTTGAATGTTGTTAGTGGAACTTAGTCAGATTATGCCGGCAACACACTCACTGTCATCTGCGTGCCCTTTGCAGCGAACCACCTGTGACAAGATCAACGTACGTCCGCGACGGGTAGAAAAGACATCCATACTGAAGCATATTATTGGGAGCAGCGCCAACATTGAATAATTTAGCATTCAACACCGGATCACCCGCTCCCAGCTCTGAGAGCTTGAATTGCGAAATCATCTCTCGTCTCTCTGCGATCATCAAATTAGCCCTCAAGCTCAAGGAACGAAAGTAGCAGAACACAAACTGATCGAAAACACCCTCACAATTCCATCAATAGTCACACCAACCACCCTCTCCCCCTCCTCTCCAACCCCACCGCCCCCATCGCCAGCAATAATCTGTACCCCAATAGCAATCGTCGTCTGTTGCCCAAACCGCACGATCTTCGTCCCTGCGCGCCAGTCCCAGCACACAAGAGCCTTGTCAGCCCCAGCAGAGACGAGGTTCTTCGAAGAGAGCGCCACAGCCCGGATACCATTAAGATGACCGGCAAGTTGTTGGAGGGGTGTAAATGTAACAGAGGAGAACAAGTGCACACGCCTGACGCGGTATCCTCAGTGAAAATACTGGAAGGAGAACATTCTACATACCCAACATCGTGGAAACCAACAACAAACACCTCTACAAGGGGAAGGAAACTCAGCGATCAGAAAGAGTTCAAAGAAACGATCCCACAAACCTTCCTCAGCCAAAAAATCAACACAGCTCACAGGCTTCTTAACCTGCAAACACTTCTTCATCTCGCCCGTCTCTATATCCCAAAACCTAATCGTCTCATCATAACTCCCACTAATAAGCCGCTTGCCCCTCAAAAGGAGGGTCGTGCAAAAGTTCGTGTGGCCGTTGAGGAACCTAACGGATTGTGGGAGGCCATTGTGGAAGTTGGATTCACGATGATGGAGGGATCGATATAGAGGGTGCCTATATCAAAGTTCAACTTAGATTGAGGGCAAGGTGCGTTATTCAGTACAAACTTACCATCCTTCAGGTGTTGCAGGAGGGGTGACGGGCGTAGGATCTGTCGCGGTGATTCGCAAGCAGTGGTAGCGCCATAACGCTGGATGGTGTACCATTGTTTGCCATTTTTTCGATACCTGCGGCCAAAATACGTTAGTTTAGCAAACAGAATGAAGGATTCAAGAACGAACGGGTTCCAGGGCGATAAGCTCTTTGACAGTCAAATACTTGAGGACGCGGAACGCAAGGTCTGGAGCGAAACTACCAAGAACGTCGAATGTTGATTTTGCATATTTTTCCAGGAGGAGGATTTGGAGGGCGATATCGCCAGGAAGACATGCTGTGGAAACAAAAAGGTCAACCCCAGTCGAGTATAAACAAGGGGAACAACGTGCAATCTAGAATAATCGCAATCCTATGAAAACAACAGAGTGAGAAGGAGGACGGTGCAAGGGCGAGAAAAGACTAACAATCTCATACGACCTTCCCTTCCCAGCCCTCGCAGGGCTTTCCTCACCTCAGTCTCATTAAAAGAACCCTTCCCATCGCCTCGCAATGCTCTAGCAAGGTCAACATCCCCATCCCCATCCTCCTCATCAAAGTCATCACGATATCCACTCCAATACCCTCTCTTCTTTTTGCCACCACAAACGCACACCGTATCCAGCAGTTGATGGCTCGGATGAACGACAGCCTCGCCAGGCGAATGACGAAGCACACGAACTTCAGCTTGAAGAGCGTGCAGCTGAGCAGCCGTCGATGCCTGTGCACGCTCTAAAAGACGTTTGTAGTGCAGGATTTTGCGGGTGTGCATGGCCATAATGTCTGAGAGGGCCGTTTCCATCTAAGCAAATACTTTGTTAAAATCGCAGCAAAAAAATTCAGCAGAGAAGGCTCACCTCCTCGTCAACGTCCCCATCATCCAGATCTGTAACCATCTCCATGGTCATGTCATCCCCGTCCCAAAACGCGTACCCGTCGTCAGTAGCGACGGCTGTACCGGTCCCAGTGGTCCCGCCACTCAAAACTTTTCCACGAGATTCCAGCAACGCAAGGCTTTCGTCCAGCAGTGCTGGATGCTGCGAGCCGTAACTCCCCGCTGACACGCTCCGTGGGGTTCCCTGAGACTTCTTTGGAGTGACCTTGGGCTTGGAGGGCGTGACGTGGTTGCTTCTCGACGCTTTTGGAGGGGTACTTTGTGGAGTTAATGATAACAGATTTTTTCCCTTTGCTTTTGGACTAGGCAAGGTGAGATTGATAGATGGGGAAGTTGTATCCGTGGATAGAAGAGAAGCTGAAGACGTGGATTTTGACATGGAGCCGCTGGAAGGTGTGCTTGGCATAGTTGTTCGGCGGGGTGATGGGGAACCCGTCATAGAGGTGATACGCGTACGAGGAGGGCGGGCAGGGGTCGCAGAGCCTTCGAGCTGGATAGCTTTCATGAGTGGTTGTGTGGGTGGCGAGGTCATGTACAACGAGGTTGAGCGGGCGGTACGGAGTGAGCCCGTCACTGAGGGTGTTTTCAGCTTGGTGGGAGAACGAATGGGCGGAGAAGGGGTTGCTGGCGTGGCGTTGTTTGCAGAGGTTGATTTTGAGGGATCGAATCGAGGGAAGTTTTGACCTGGAGCTGGCATGGAGGTCCTGCGTGTGTTGCCAGCTAATGAAGGAATGGACGTCGACATGCGTTTCGCCGCAATCGACGGTACAGGGACTGGAGTTGCATTTGGCGAGCGCCCTGCGTTGCTCTGCTTTGCGCTGGGACGGACAGTCGCGTCTTCGCTGACGAGTGAGGCACTGGAATCTGCTCGGGGTTTGGTGACGCTTGAGGTGGACAGTGATGATCGTAACGTCGAGGAGCGCGTCGTCGATCGCGAAAGACGCGTAGAAGATTCAGAGGGGTTGTATGAAAGTTTTGAGCTCATTGCGAAATGCCGTGAAAGTTTGCAATTGCAATTCCGATTAGGTGCTCGTTGCTAAGGTGCGTTGCCACGCACGACGCGCACCCGACGATTGAAGGCAGATATTCTTGAGATTGCACGTTCCGATTTTCAATTCTTAGACCGTACAGCGCAAAAGAGCGCTGGAGGTGGTGAATGGAGAAGCAAAGAGCCCAGTTTCCGATTAGGTGCTGGTTGCTAAGCTCGGTTGCCACACACGACGCACCCGCCGCCCGCCGTGGACGACTGAAGGCAGATATTCTTGAGATCGCACGTCCTAATTCCCAATATACTTAGACCGTACAACACAAAAGAGCGTTGGAGATGGTGGCACGAGTTGAGAAGCAAAGAGCCCAATTTGGGCCTGTTGTTGATTCTAACGGCTCTTCAACAACTCAATCTGCAGGAAATTCTACACATAGACATGACTCGGAGTGTTTCCTACTTCTTTGAAATCCTCGCAGACAATCACAGTACATATGAGTGAAAAGCTCTGGTGGGAACCCACTTATTCGGAAGGAGGCGGAGTCTTGTAGTATTCGACACGGCGTCGGCATGCTCGATTCCTCGACGGTCCACAAGCAGTATGCACTGCACACCACGTCCTGGGCCATACAAAGCAGTCACTGACGCGACATCGCCATGGTGTACCATCCTTCAAAGCTGTGCATCGTTAGCATTATCCGACGTCGCCATATCGGACTTATGCCATACCTTAGAGGTGTTGATTGTCTCCAAGATTACCTTGCCTGTATCATCGGAGTACAGTTGAAATTTCGTGAGCTGATTTTCTTGTCAGTATATTGAACCTGACAAACTCAAGTGCCACAATAGGCACCTTACCTGATTGCTTAATTTGCTGAGGTCAATAGGTTGAGGTGCAGACGAAGATGCATTGAGAAATAGAGGACAACGCAGTTGGCTGGGATTGATTAGTTGGTGATCTGTCGAGGTACACATCCATTAACACGATGAATTGGACGCGCAAAGTGAGTAACCTTGGTAACCAGAGACGGCATATGCTTGAAGCATCACAGGAGGTTTGCATGCAAAGACATGTTTACCAAAGGATCTGAATGGAAGATCACATTCATTAGACATGCCCAAGGACGCCGAAGGTAAAGCACTGACGCAACGGAGTCCAGGTCCACCACAGGAGAGAAGACGTCAACTTCACTTGTGGGGTCAATCGTACCTTTTGATGAATCAATAAACCATTCCAAATCGATGCTATGCCAGATTGATAGACGCACATAAAGCCAAGCGCAGCCGTGAGCCCGTCATGTTAGAAACGGCAATGGTACTCGTCTTACATGGCATTGGCAGTTCTTCAGACATGTCGTGCCCATCATGCAAATTTTGTAAAATTGCCGCATATCCAGGCTTAACAAGCAACTTATTAGTACTTATAGGGAAGACCACCTTAGTGGTTACACACCTTCACAACTGCGTGTAGATCGCCTGGCTGCAGCGTACCGTCATCGAGCTCCTCAACAACACAAAAACCCGACCTGGAACCCAGCTGGAGTCAGCAATAGCTTAAATGCATAACCGACAGAGGACTACGCTTACCGGCTACTCCAGAATAGTTCGTTCTGCGTTGTGGCTATCATTTACGCCAGTCAGCTAGAAATTGACATTAAGAGCGAATGTGAACTGACTCGTTTGTTCAAAGTGAAGAGTCTGGGAGAAAAACAAGATAAGAGAACGTAGCCAGATGAGAATCAATTATCGGTACCTTCCACACGATAGCAGGCCAAAGCTTGTCGGGGTCGGCAGTGAGAGGGGTAAGGGTGAATATGATCTGAATACGAGAATGAATATGTATCAGCGTCTGATAAGAACATGAAATTCATACATCGATCGGTATTTTCAGCGTCTTGTGTGCAACATCAACACTCGTGTGGATTATCAGGTGTTTCTGTAACAGTGGATTTTCCAGCTGATGTTCAGGTACAGGAGGGTGGTTGCCTTTGGTGTGTTGGCTAGATATTTCCATGCGTCAAACAGTATTTCTGCTGAACATGAAATTGCTGACCTTTCAGATCCAACATTGACACCCTTCTTTCTTGCAACAAGTGTATTGGCTTTTGATAGGAACTCTTTCCATTTCCCTCGGTCTAGGAGTGGGCCCAGCTCATCCAGTTCAGTTCCAGCCTCGATGGCAACTCCAATATTGTATATGTCCTCGACGGAACAGTCGAGAGCCCAAATATTGTTGACGCCGCAGTGTTTGATGTCGAACTTATGAGCCCCAGGAAACATGGTATGGAATCGAAGGGTTTCCAATGATTTGCGGATTCGCTGGATTCGGACGGAGAGTTCCTTCGCATATGAGACAAAAATTAGACTGAACATCCATAATGATAACGGGGTACCGACCGTGTCTGCATCTTCTAACCTCGAAAGTTGATGTTCGAGCGCTTGCCATGTGATTGGTTGGTATCCCAACGCCCGCGTTACAGGCCAATTCAAGGTCCCGTCGCCCAAGCGGTCCAGGAAGTATAAGAACAGGCTTTCATGACGTTCCCCAAAGTACGCCCTTGTGAGTTCTATGATGCCTCGACAAGTGAGTTGGACATCAAGGAGATGACGATGCCAATTTTCCCAGGCGTAACTTGTGGTAAGCTGGAAATAATTCACTCGATCAGGTTCGATTTCGATCGATCCATTTTGGCTCTCCGCGATGATCAGCTCAATGCAATCATAGAAGAGGGAGAGATGCTGCTTCGTAGGATCGATCCAGTAATTGTTGCGATCAAAGGTGAAGTTATTGGAACGGTTTCTTTCAGTTAGAAAATGGCGTAGCGATGAGTGCAAAAAAGTAATATTCTCGTGATCGGCTTGTGGTATCTGAATGATTGATCTGCAGCCTCGAAGTAATCGACGGGCATCGGCTGCGCTATGAAGCCTAAGAAGCACCACCAGAGAGCCCAAAGAAAGCTCAGCATAGAGGAAGCACATAGCGCCCAACAGCCGGTGAAATTCGGGATTGTAAACCTCTGGTGCATCCCGCAAAACCTGTCGAAAAAAAGTATCAAGGCCATCATGTTGGTGCAGTGCGCGCCTCAGCCTCGATTGCAGATCTCCCCCCTGGTTGCAATCACCTACGAACTTGACGAGGCTCCAAGCGTAAACGAATAGGCCCTCCGATTTTCTCACTAATAAATCAAAATCCTGTGGGGATGGCCAATCGTCTAACTTTCCCGATCCACAATAGATTAAATGCTTAGTCTTCAAAGTTTTGAACTCTTCTTTGCAGAAAAGTTCGATATCTTTGTGAGCCGGAAAGTCTGCTAGGTTTATTGGGTAAACTCTCTTGGGATAACAGTTAAATTCTTTCAAAACTTCTTCTTCTGGTCGGCTCGTTACGAAGAATCGTATGGGTGGAGGTGAATCGCAATACTTGTCGGCAAGAATTTTGATCAACATTTGCAATGGACCGTGACATTCGTTGATTGCGTCAATGACCACAATCATAGGAGGGGGATAAAGAAAGGCTTCGAGACGTGTTTGAATAGCCATTTCAATACTTGGGCGTGCGGCCACGGCGGACACTACCGTGAGGACAGTGAAAATGAAGGAGATCGCCTCGCGACGATCAGTGGCAGCAGGGAGTATAATATAGAAAAGGAGCGTGATCAAGACTCCAAAAAACACCTGTGCGAAAGAGGGGGTTGCCCAGACTTTCAAAAAACTGCGAATAAGGGCCCTAATAAATCGACGGCGCCGAAAAGGACCAACGAGGAGGCTGTGAAATTGTGTCTCCAGCGATTTGGAGAGGATGGCAGGGTCGGAATCAAGGACTTGAATGACCTTTTTTCTAACGATGGGATAGGATATAGAATTTTGGTATGCAATGGTGGCAAAGATTTTGTCGAGGGATCGGCGTTCTGGATCGTGACCTGGATCTCCAGAAAAAAAGAACGTCCCTGCCAAACGGTTTTCCTTGTCATACCTCTCCGCTATGGTAGCTGCGAGTGTAGTCTTTCCCGAACCAAGGGGTCCATAAAGCAAGCATACCGTGCTGTCACTGCGTGAATCCGCCCAAGTGTAAACGCGATCTAAAACACCTTGGCAAGTTCCAGGTAAACAAGCAGCCGCTGATTCGCGTTCCGAGGAATTGTACGACGCGGTGAGAACAGCTCTTCTCGATATAATCTCAAACCCCCTTGCTGAATAATGAAGTGATCAGGACAGAATTCTTGATGACTCGGCGCATGTGTGAAATCTCTACGTACCATCTTTCCGGACAGTGCGATTGTCAACTTGTGAAAAATCTGGCAGGTTCAAGCGTCAATCACTGGCAGGCCCACTCCGGGTATCGTGGCTTACGTGTACTATTGTCCACGTAAGAGTAGTCATTATGGGAATGAACGCTTGTCTTGATGTTTGTGGTATCGGTAAGCATGTATACTTGGAGTCGATGGCTATGGGTGGTTGAGGAAGAGACATGAAAGTTGCTGGTTATTTATATCACCGTCTAACTTCCTTAGTAAGATGCATACAAAGCTAATATTGATGTGCGGAACTGAGGGAAATGTTGATGTACGGAGTCAATTGATGTACGCCGAGCCAATGCTTGATGTTCGGAGGCAATTGGTTTTGTATATACTCCAGAGGCAACTGGTTTTGTTCGGAGGCAGTTGGTTTGTTCGGAGGCAATTGGTTTTGTTCGGAGGAAATTGGTGATGTACGGAGTCAATTGATGTACGCCGAGCCAATGCTTGATGTTCGGAGGCAATTGGTTTTGTATATACTCCAGAGGCAACTGGTTTTGTTCGGAGGCAGTTGGTTTGTTCGGAGGCAATTTGTTTTGTTCGGAGGAAATTGGTGATGCCCGGAGCCAATTGAGTAGGGTATCGTAGCAGCATCGGTCAGGGTATCGTGCAATGGATAATTCCCGGCTTTACGCCCCTGGTAGAACTGTTTTCAAATCACCTGTAACGCGGAGTCCATGATGCACAGAGGGCTCCGATGTGCAA